TACGGATGTGTGTGTGTGTGTGTGTGTGTGTGTATGTGTGTGCAAGTCCCTGTTGAAGAGGAGTGTTTTGATTTGGCGACTCCATTCAAGTCCAGACTGCACCGCTCTGTTTTGCCGTTATTAAATCCACGACGGTGAATAGGCTTCAATTACGCCAGCAAAATAATCTGTCCGCATTCAGCAAGCTTTCCATCTTGTGGAGAAGGGGGAATGTTTACTATTTATCATTTAACCTAAGAGAAAAGGGGTCCCTCTATCACAGCCTTCAAAAAAGCAGCATTCATAGTCGAGGCTGTTTTTTTTCAGTGCCATTATCCTGATTGTTTTCAATCCGTTAATGCTGATATATGATTATATGATAGGGCGCATCGTATAGAAACACACTAGGCCTGCTTGCTTCTGCCACCGCTGATTATTTCTCCATTTGACTGCCGTAACCTTTAGCTCAAGTGTTGCTTACAGAGCCGAGGGCGCACCTTGCGTCTGTTAACGAACGAGCTGTGTTTTTGTTCTGCCACAACAAATTACGAAAGTACCGGGCTCGACGACGACGGGCAGGCATAAATGAGCGCATAACGGGTGTTGACATTTTTGCTTTTGTCATTCATTTACCTTAAATAACGAGTGAGTCGCTACTGCTGCTGTCATTCTTTACTCTAACGCTGCTGCCTCTGCAAGATCCCTCCTTCAAAACCCTCCCTGAACCATCTTGTTTGACAGATTAGTTGAATTCTCTCTCTTTTTTCTCTCTTACTAACACTGAAGCCTCTAAGTGGATTTGTCATTGTTTATCTTCTGCCTTTACCCCTTCAAATACTAACATGAAAACCTCCATGGAATGTGAGCCATCTGTTTGCCATTGACAGTGTCCAAATAAATTAGGTATAAGCTAACAGGTTTGAACAGCTTTTTTTTCTCATTCTTCCTGGGAAGATATATTCTAATGGAGGGCGGAGAAATTAAGTATCATTTCGTGGTATGGTTAAATTTGCTTTCAAATTGTTAGTAAGTCATTTTCAATAATTTTAAAGCTTCTGTGGAGTTTATGGTATGTAATTTTACTCTCCCTCCTTGTTTTTATCTTTTTTTGAAGCGCGCAGGGGTTGGACTCCCTACGGTAAACAAACTGCATTATATGGTAGATATCACATTCTAATTTGTCTAGTTTGGTTTGGCCCTTTCTTTTTATCTCTTTTTGCTTTTACTGTGCAGAAACGACTACAGAAAAGTTTAAAAATGGCATCAGTCCCCAGGTGCCATGCAAAAGTTCATTTTTTGCCATTTGCAGTTTATGTACATTGTGTTTATGTACATTGTTTTTTTTTATAGCACTCACAATCCCCTCACCCATATTCTTATTAAAATGCTTTTTGTTGTATGAGTTCTATCATCGATAACACATCCTATTTGGCTGAGAGTTTCTAGGGTGGGCATAAATGATGCTGTAAGCTGCTGACTTCAGTCTGGGCCACACTGTGGCTGACACTGGATTTGTTTTCTCAGACAGAAAACATATTTTTATGCTTAATGTAAATTCTGATGTAAAATATAAACTGCCCAGTGTCAGTCAATGTAAAAGGGCAGAAGGTGCTCTCTCAAAGCATTTCGTAATTTCTCAGATAAAAGAAACAATCAAAAACAAACATTTGACTGCAGCTCTTGTGCAGCGTTTCTGTCCACCTGCTCCATTTTCCCTCATTCTCCCCCTTTGATGTTGGCTTTTATTAAATGTTGCAGCATCTCATACAGAGTTTTCGGTGCACTGTATGATGTAGCATTTAATAATACTGATTTTTGCTTGGAAACTTCTCTTAATATGCAATGTTCTCAAACACTGTATTCATATTTGCCAAGTGAATCAAAAACAACAGGAGAGAAGGGCAATGAAGGCTTTTATTTGTAGATGCAACTGCATTCACTTTATCGTTAATAGCACAATATATGCCCTATGCAATAAAAAATGCAGAAAACTCTAATCTTTAAACTTTGTTGCAGACAGATTATTTCAGTGTGAAGCTTAGTTTATCATAATGGGAGCCATTTAGTTTTGATACGTCGTGAAGGTACGGTCTAACTGTGGGTTGCTTATGGTTGCCAAGCAACGTCTTAACTCCAATTAATATAGAATTCAACTGCATGAATCTGTTATATTTCAGTGGCTTCAAACGTGACTAAAATTGTCATATTTGTAATGTATTATTATTTTCAGTCTTGTTTTTAACTCAAGCATTGCATAATGTAAAATTATCATATATAAATATGAGTAATGATGTGAATGATCTTCCTTTTTGGTTTGCATCCTTCATTTTTTAAGTATTTATTAAACGTACTAAATTAAATATTCTATGACTATGACTATTGAAAAAAAAAAGACTTTGTCTTTAAGTGATATTAAATTTCTCTGTGAGATTGGATTTTGTACATATCACCCCATAAATACAATCAGATAATAATATGTTGGTAACACTTTAGTACAGGGACCAATTCTCACTAGTAACTAGTTGCTTATTAGCATGCCTATTATTCTATATCCCTAATCCTACCCAATGCCTAAACTTAACGACTACCTTATTAACTATTAATAAGCAGCAAATTAGGAGTTTATTGAGGCAAAAGGTGTAGTTAATGGTTTGTTAATGACGAGAATTGGACCTTAAAAGAAAGTGTGACCAATATGAATATGTTTAGATGTTTACACTTGTTAATGTTAAAATGTACAAGCCCTTCTGTTTCTGCAAGTAACATGTTATTGACAGTTTTTCTAATTTCCAGTTGCCTCACACTTTAATCTGAAAAGAATGACCTTGGGCAGACAAACTGAGGTGTTCTGCTTGAGCACAAACACTCACTGTTTATATGAATTGAAAGTGGAAAATGACAGAATTGGATAAAAATGATTGTGGCTGCCATACAGCTGTAATTGACCCTCTGTCCAGGGAACAGAGAAAAAACTGACCTCCCCTTACCCTTCTCTTCCTGTGGCAAAGGAGTACATCTTGTTTTCCTCATGCATTTTGATGTATTGATTTTTGTCATTCATTTCTTTAAGTAGCCGATGACATGTGGCACTTTTTATCCAGCATGTGCGACATGTTGTTTTGCATCACTGGACTTGCACTTTGTATACCGTGTTTTTAAATTTAATACGCAGCTTATACGCCATTATGCACCTGAATAATTTGCTTCCACTGCATGTGTGGGTAACTCTTTTTGTTGATGTTGTGTGGTGCTGTACATTTATTTTTTTTGTCTTTCTTTTTCCCTCCATGTCTTGCTTTCTTTGCTCTTTCTCTCTTATAAAGGTTCAGACAAATACTGGGTTTCAATTTCAGGACAGTGCACACCATCTACAATTTCCAGCATTGCCGTTATTAAATCCACGACGGTGAATAGGCTTCAATTACGCCAGCAAAATAATCTGTCCGCATTCAGTAAGCTTTCCATCTTGTGGAGAAGGGGGAATGTTTACTATTTATTATTTAACCTAAGAGAAAAGGGGTCCCTCTATCACAGCCTTCAAAAAAGCAGCGTTGTAGTTGAGGCTGTTTTTTTTTTCAGTGCCATTATCCTGATTGTTTTCGATCCGTTATTGCTGAAATATGATTATATGATAGGGCGCATCGTATAGACACACACTATGCCTGCTCGCTTCTGCCGCCACTGATTATTTCTCCATTTGACTGCCGTAACCTTTAGCTCAAGTGTTGCTTACAGAGCCGAGGGCGCACCTTGCGTCTGTTAACGAACGAGCTGTGTTTTTGTTCTGCCACAACAAATTACGAAAGTACCGGGCTCGACGACGACGGGCAGGCATAAATGAGCGCATAACGGGTGTTGACATTTTTGCTTTTGTCATTCATTTACCTTAAATAACGAGTGAGTCGCTACTGCTGCTGTCATTCTTTACTCTAACGCTGCTGCCTCTGCAAGATCCCTCCTTCAAAACCCTCCCTGAACCATCTTGTTTGACAGATTAGTTGAATTCTCTCTCTTTTTTCTCTCTTACTAACACTGAAGCCTCTAAGTGGATTTGTCATTGTTTATCTTCTGCCTTTACCCCTTCAAATACTAACATGAAAACCTCCATGGAATGTGAGCCATCTGTTTGCCATTGACAGTGTCCAAATAAATTAGGTATAAGCTAACAGGTTTGAACAGCTTTTTTTTCTCATTCTTCCTGGGAAGATATATTCTAATGGAGGGCGGAGAAATTAAGTATCATTTCGTGGTATGGTTAAATTTGCTTTCAAATTGTTAGTAAGTCATTTTCAATAATTTTAAAGCTTCTGTGGAGTTTATGGTATGTAATTTTACTCTCCCTCCTTGTTTTTATCTTTTTTTGAAGCGCGCAGGGGTTGGACTCCCTACGGTAAACAAACTGCATTATATGGTAGATATCACATTCTAATTTGTCTAGTTTGGTTTGGCCCTTTCTTTTTATCTCTTTTTGCTTTTACTGTGCAGAAACGACTACAGAAAAGTTTAAAAATGGCATCAGTCCCCAGGTGCCATGCAAAAGTTCATTTTTTGCCATTTGCAGTTTATGTACATTGTGTTTATGTACATTGTTTTTTTTTATAGCACTCACAATCCCCTCACCCATATTCTTATTAAAATGCTTTTTGTTGTATGAGTTCTATCATCGATAACACATCCTATTTGGCTGAGAGTTTCTAGGGTGGGCATAAATGATGCTGTAAGCTGCTGACTTCAGTCTGGGCCACACTGTGGCTGACACTGGATTTGTTTTCTCAGACAGAAAACATATTTTTATGCTTAATGTAAATTCTGATGTAAAATATAAACTGCCCAGTGTCAGTCAATGTAAAAGGGCAGAAGGTGCTCTCTCAAAGCATTTCGTAATTTCTCAGATAAAAGAAACAATCAAAAACAAACATTTGACTGCAGCTCTTGTGCAGCGTTTCTGTCCACCTGCTCCATTTTCCCTCATTCTCCCCCTTTGATGTTGGCTTTTATTAAATGTTGCAGCATCTCATACAGAGTTTTCGGTGCACTGTATGATGTAGCATTTAATAATACTGATTTTTGCTTGGAAACTTCTCTTAATATGCAATGTTCTCAAACACTGTATTCATATTTGCCAAGTGAATCAAAAACAACAGGAGAGAAGGGCAATGAAGGCTTTTATTTGTAGATGCAACTGCATTCACTTTATCGTTAATAGCACAATATATGCCCTATGCAATAAAAAATGCAGAAAACTCTAATCTTTAAACTTTGTTGCAGACAGATTATTTGAGTGTGAAGCTTAGTTTATCATAATGGGAGCCATTTAGTTTTGATACGTCGTGAAGGTACGGTCTAACTGTGGGTTGCTTATGGTTGCCAAGCAACGTCTTAACTCCAATTAATATAGAATTCAACTGCATGAATCTGTTATATTTCAGTGGCTTCAAACGTGACTAAAATTGTCATATTTGTAATGTATTATTATTTTCAGTCTTGTTTTTAACTCAAGCATTGCATAATGTAAAATTATCATATATAAATATGAGTAATGATGTGAATGATCTTCCTTTTTGGTTTGCATCCTTCATTTTTTAAGTATTTATTAAACGTACTAAATTAAATATTCTATGACTATGACTATTGAAAAAAAAAAGACTTTGTCTTTAAGTGATATTAAATTTCTCGGTGAGATTGGATTTTGTACATATCACCCCATAAATACAATCAGATAATAATATGTTGGTAACACTTTAGTACAGGGACCAATTCTCACTAGTAACTAGTTGCTTATTAGCATGCCTATTATTCTATATCCCTAATCCTACCCAATGCCTAAACTTAACGACTACCTTATTAACTATTAATAAGCAGCAAATTAGGAGTTTATTGAGGCAAAAGGTGTAGTTAATGGTTTGTTAATGACGAGAATTGGACCTTAAAAGAAAGTGTGACCAATATGAATATGTTTAGATGTTTACACTTGTTAATGTTAAAATGTACAAGCCCTTCTGTTTCTGCAAGTAACATGTTATTGACAGTTTTTCTAATTTCCAGTTGCCTCACACTTTAATCTGAAAAGAATGACCTTGGGCAGACAAACTGAGGTGTTCTGCTTGAGCACAAACACTCACTGTTTATATGAATTGAAAGTGGAAAATGACAGAATTGGATAAAAATGATTGTGGCTGCCATACAGCTGTAATTGACCCTCTGTCCAGGGAACAGAGAAAAAACTGACCTCCCCTTACCCTTCTCTTCCTGTGGCAAAGGAGTACATCTTGTTTTCCTCATGCATTTCGATGTATTGATTTTTGTCATTCATTTCTTTAAGTAGCTGTGATGACATGTGGCACTTTTTATCCAGCATGTGCGACATGTTGTTTTGCATCACTGGACTTGCACTTTGTATACCGTGTTTTTAAATTTAATACGCAGCTTATACGCCATTATGCACCTGAATAATTTGCTTCCACTGCATGTGTGGGTAACTCTTTTTGTTGATGTTGTGTGGTGCTGTACATTTATTTTTTTTGGCTTTCTTTTTCCCTCCATGTCTTGCTTTCTTTGCTTTCTCTCTTATAAAGGTTCAGACAAATACTGGGTTTCAATTTCAGGACAGTGCACACCATCTACAATTTCCAGCAGACAAGCTGCATTTTTTCCCCAGCTTTGCCTACTTGTCCGCAGTAATAATATTGTTCACAGAATATTTGGCGATATTAGAGATGGAATCTGAATCTTTTCTGTCTGTCGGCATGGAAACGCCTAAACCCCAAGCATTTATTAAGACGGCAAGAAAACCACCTGTTTTGGATGTCTGCCAGTGTTTCCACGCTTCAGCATTAACATTTATAAATATGATTGTGCTCTAGATGCACTTAATTCATCATAAATGACTCTTTCTAATTCTTTTTTCTTCTTTTCTTTTGTAATTCTTGTCTAACTACATCAAGTCCTGAAATCGCAGCCCGAGATGTCTTAACCGTCATGCACGGCTTGTGTATTAACAAACTGAAAGCTATCACTACCCAAACACCTTCAAAGTATTTATTTTCAAGACATCTCTTACGAAATGTGTGCAGTTAATCCAGTAGTTGATCAGAACTGACCACCAACATAGTTAAATGCAACCTCTGTTATACTAACAACCATTTTTGTGTCTGAATCCCCCCCTTTTATACTAATCTCGCACAGTCACCCTTAACATCACTTGCTAACCCACTCAACATATAGTGATTCCTCTTAGTTCCTGTAGTCATACACCTCCCCTTCCTGTCTCTCCTCTCCAACACTGACTAGTCCAGCACACAAGACAGTATTCTCTCATTCAGAAAGCAGCAATGGCAGACATAAAAATGGGTTGCCCCCTCGCTAACGTATGCATACAGAACCAGAGGAACCCCCACGTGAAACAGAGTTTTTGTTTAGTAGAGGAACTTGTTGAAGCCAACAAGGATTTCAGCTTGTGCATAATCAAAAGATTTCCCACGTTCCCTCTCTTGTTTCTTCCCTCTCTATCTGTTTTCTATCCATCCGTGGCCTTTATGCAAACACAGGTGACGATATCGGTGGACGGCCTGCTGACAACCACTGGCTACACCCAGGAGGACTACACCATGCTGGGCTCAGATGATTTCTTCTACGTGGGCGGCAGTCCAAACACAGCAGATCTGCCCGGCTCCCCTGTGAGCAACAACTTCATGGGCTGCCTTAAAGATGTAAGAAGCATTTTGTTTGTCTTTGAATTCAGGCGAGTTGGTCGGGACCTTCTCAAAGAAGTCCTGGTTTCTCGAGTTCCATTGATGTTCTTTTTGCTTGGCGAGCGATCTGTCCTCTTTTACCTCTTCCTTATCTGTCCTTTCTCCTTTCTCTTTCGCACCCCTCCGAGCATGTCCCATAATTTATGTCATGTCTATACCGTTGAAGTTCCAGCTTTGCTATCCTGACAGCCAAATTAAAAATTGATTTCCTCTATGGATCCCCATTCGACTGTCCCAGACTCTCCATCTCTGTCTTGTTGAACCCGGACTCTATTAATCACCACTCTCCACCTGCTCAACCGTACAGTTAGTATCAGCGGCCCTCTTCAGCAGGCGCTTGAGCACTCCCTTATCGTGCCTCTGATAGAGACGTATACACATCTACAATGCGGTTACACTTTTGGGAATCTGTGTTTTGTCTTGTCGCTCTTTCGTTTTCATTTGGTCTTTTGTTGCGCAGGTTCTGTGTGTCATGTTTGTTGTTGGATGTTCATGTTTTCCCCCATGTCGACTGCGTCCACCTGTGTAGTGTTTAATTAGGCTAGTTTGTCAAGGTGTATATATATATATATATATATATATATATATACTCTCTCGAGACTTATGTCA